TGTTGTTGTTTGTTTGTTCGCTCTGCCGCGTCTTGTTTGTTTGTTTGATTGATTGATTGTTTGGTTGTTCGTTTGGTTGGTTGGCTGTTTGTATTGATTGTTTGGTCTCATTGGACCCTCAATGAGCAAGAATTCCAGTGGCAGAGCCTTTGGGGGGAAGCAACGGGGACGCCCTTTGATTGGGAAGATTGGCAGGGATTGCTGAGGTTCCTCAGCAAGAAACATGCCCATCAATCAACCGAAACTGATCGCGAGAACGCGGGCTGACAAGAAGAAGAACCTGTGCCTGCGACGGCGTTTGGACCAGCAAAAGCAGACGGGAACTGAAAGGAGCGAGCAGGCAAGAGCATCTGCAGAGGCAGGGCCAGCAAAGGAACGGGCAACAGGTCCATGAGCCGGCAGGAACGGGCAAGAATAAGAGGTGCGGATCAGGTTCAGAACCGGCATTCCATGGAAGACATGTTGCCCAGTTGAAACGTCCAAATCGAATCGAATCAAACCCCCTGCAAGACCTTTGTCAAGAAAATAACCTACCCGCCCCTTTGGCCTCGGGTCTGGCCCGACCTGAGGTGTTACTTCCCGGGCCCTCCGGAGCCTGACGGCACGCCCACCTACTTCTGGGGCTTCGCCACCATGCTGACGCGCATCGACGCCTCAGCTGAGTCAGCACCCCTTTCAATTTTCCCTTGGACGCCTTTCCGCTTCTTCCATTGTCCGTCAGGTTCCAGGTTAATTAATTGGCAAAAAAACTGGCCATTCAGCCTTTGCTCTTCGCAGGGAATTCGAAGACAAACGTCCATTTGCTGAAATGAATGTGTTGCTTCCGCCTGGTGTTAACGGGAATCGATTTCACTGGACAGAACGTCTCATCTTTTCCAGGGGGCGAAAACGCAAACGGCAGGCTGGCTTGAGACGTTTTAGTCGCCTGCGGTTTCAAGATGAACGTCTTTTAAGAGAGGTTCTCTCGTTCACTCACTTCCTGAGAATCTATAAATCTACATGAACTTCCCTGGTTTTCCCGAACATCTTCGCAAATGGAGCCCTTGTTTGGCAACCTAGACAGCTTTCTTTCTAGACACACCCTTTTCAACCAGCGATTCGCAACTGACGATCCGATAGGCACCTTCCAAAGGCTACTGGGCCGCGTCTTTGGTAGTTTGCTTTGAGTTCCCACTACTGGTCACCCAACTGTTGTGCCCTTCCCAACCGCAAAACCCACCAAACAACTGGGAAATGAGACACGCTTTGGGATACTTGACAAAGGATTCGAAGACACAGCAGCCATCTTTAGAATTGCCTGCAAATTTGGTGTTTCTCAAGATTAGGGACCCCTCGAGGTTGGTTTCCTTTTGGTTTCCCTAAACCATCCAAGAAAGGGCTCCACTTCCTATGTTGAGACACACGGTTCAGGAAGGGTTTCCATTTACCCTCCACAAAAGCCAGGGCTTCAAATCCCCAACATGTCCTTTCTGGTTGTTTTGGTAGAAACATAGATGGGTTTCGATTCCTGGTTTACCTGGTTTCCTCACCAGACAATCCATCTACTTACCCAAGGACACCTATGATCCCCAAGGGCCAAGCTGAAAAAACAAGCGGCGCCCCGACCCCGCGGCAGACGGTGGCTTAAGGAAGACCTCTTGGCGAGCGCGGACTTGTCGGGCCTGGAGCAGGGCTCTCACAAGGCGTGGCGTTTTTGGGGGTTGGATAGGAGCTCCCAAAAAATTGGTTTGCCCTTGCCCAAAAGGGTACCTGGATCCCAAGTAGCTACTATTTTCCAGCCGGAGATCCAGGTACCCTCAGTCTGGAAAGGAATCCAATTGCTGGGGCTTGATTTTCCCCCGAGTTTTCTCGGCAGGGAGAGGGTGTTTGTGTTTTCCCATTCACCCACCAGTGGGTTTTTCCACATATTTCGCACTCTTGAGCCACCCTTGGGTCTTTTCCGGGTCGTTTGAAAGGTCTAGAAGTGGAACATGGTTCACATCTCGGCCACACCCAGGGGCCTGCCCCCCCAATCTTGTTTTGGGGGTTCTTCCAACAATTTGCTTTCTCGAGGATTCGCGTCGGATTTTTGTTTCCCTTGGCGACCGATGTTGGTGTTTTCTTTGGGCGACCCGCGGTCTTTTGAGGAATTATCGTGTCCAATTTGGTGTGTCCTTTCTTGCAGGTACCCCGTTTTGGTTAAGGGAAAGAGGACACACGATCTCCATTTTGGGGGTCCCCATTCAATGCGTTCATGTCTGGTCTTGGCGTCTCTTTTTTGGAGCTGGCTCCCAGCCATCCCCTTAGATTTGTTGCTTTGTGGTTGGGTGTTGAAACCACCTAAATAGCCAAGTTGCTGTTGTTTTTTTTTTCTGTCACTGTTGCGATCGGTTTTTGGATGGTAAAGTGCATGGACAAAAGCGCTCGCAACTGGATCGATCCAGGCACTAGAAGTGAATGACATTATTTTCGCAGGATCAGAAAACGGACTGAGTCTTGGGCATTGACAGGTGTCTGGCATCTCGAAGTTTTCCTTTCAGCTCTACGACCTCGAGCCTCACCCCTCGCTGGCTGATGCCGCTCGATCAAAGCGAACGAGCGGCGGTCTCGGTCTCGGGTTGTTTTCCACGTGGGTGGATCCCCTTCTTTGGTTGGTTTAAAAGGAACAAACAGGGAACACCACCAGTTTGGGGGGTCCCCGAATCCTATGTACTTAGGTGCCAGATTCGAGGTCTTTGGCCATGTGGCTGTGGTGGTCAAAACCAATGGCATCCAATTTGGGGACCGTTTTCGGTGCACCCATTTGAGAACCTATTTTAGTTGGGATTGGGATATTCACTGGACCCATGGCCACCCATTTTGGGTTGCAATGCCAAGGCAAAACATGCCCATGGCTGCGCACTAGAAGCAGCCGGTGAACCGAAAGAGATTGTTTCTCCGAGACCTTAAGGGGGGTTCGTCTTCTTTCCTTCTTTTGGAGCGGGCAAACGCCTTTAAAGTCAACTACATGTTCATTACATGTGTATATATATATATTATGTATATGTGTATGTATGTGTGTATGTACACAGTAATACAGCGCACATTATGTCCCCCACCATCGCAGAGAAAAACGGAGCCCGGTTTGGCGAATTGACCCCACTAGCTGGATCGAGGAAACGGATTTGGCCTTGCTGCGAGGGCGAAATTGATCTCACGGCGCGATTGCCCCGTTTCTCTACTGCTATTGGGTTGCATATTTCGACTTTAACTTGTTGGATTCCCTTCATATTTCCTTTGACCAGCAAAAAGTTAAACTTTTTGCTGGGGGATCTACAGCACCCAAGATGTTTTACGGTCGGTTTGTTCTCATGGTATGGCATTCATGTAGTTTGGCATCCATTTTTCCGTGGCTGAGGGTCGCTCCGACCCGTCTCAGAGTCGAAGGAGCAACTCCAGTTCTTCATTAAGCTTGACATGTACCCTGGCATGTTCCTCAGAAAAGCATTTCTCCCAGAACAAGGCGGCTTTTGTACTCCCCCGTGTTTGCGGCATTTTCCCAGAAAGCTCCCCCATCCGAAATGTCAAAACCGGTCCCATGTGGGAGCCCTCCCGACTCCCACAGCCTCTGCCCTCGAGCGAACCGCCGAGGTGGGGGGCATTTGGCAGCAATCCTCGAGCTCGGAGTCATTGAGCGACGGTGTGGAAGCCGCCGCGCCTTGGATGAGACTCGAGTCGCTGACTTTGTGGGAAAATTTGCAGATCGTCTTTTTGGTTGCCCCATCCAAGAACATGACTGGTTCCTGACAGCCAGTTGCCTCCAAAAGGGACCCGTAGTGGATTTTGGGGGGTGTTTCAGGTGCTCGCGGCACTCTGGTTTGTTCTGCTGTGTTCTGTCTGGATATGCACATGTTCTGTTATGAATTGTTTTAGGTGTGCACATGTGTTGAGTTTGGCTTTTTGGTCGCGAAACCGTTTCGTTCTTTCCTCGTCAGCCTTCCTTTGCTGCATACCAGCTGGGTCCACCTACCAGGTCGGACCGTCCACCGGCTGATTGAGAGGATCCCCCAAGCAAAGCGCAGGGCTTGGTCCCATGTTTGCTCAGACATTAAAAACAACAGAGAACACGCTGTGTGTTCTGGCATGATGTTTTGTTTGTCATCAAGTTCACTAGGATTCAAAAGACTGAAAGACGATAAAACAATTCTCTGGGCAATTTGTAGTTTGAGCTATTTGTATCGTGTCTGGGTTTTCTCGAGGTGTTTGTTGATTGTCCCTCAGCTGTTTTCCCATTAGAATATATGATGAGGCCAACACTCATGATGTGATTTTAGCTTTGGCAGACAGATGAGCACATGTGGCCTGGACTCTTGGTGTGTGTGTGTGTGTGGCTTCAGCTCTGGCAGATGTGAAAAGGTGGGTGCGAAGAAATGTGTGCATACATACGCAGATGTATGCACATATACTGGCTCCCAGCCATCCGGTTCCTTCGCCTTTTAGCCTTTTAGTGTTTAGTGGTAGTTTCCCCTTAGCTTTTTAGCTCATTAAGTTAGTCACTTTTACCGGGGGGATCTGAGGGCAGCGTATAGAAAGTATATGTGCACCCCTTTTCCATGGACCCAGGGTTAGTTTCAGAGCAGATACCCCGGACTGTGGACCCGCGTTGCGTATGTTGCATAGCAGACACCTTGGACCATTTGGGCGTCGCCAAATTTGAGTCCGAGAAATTTGAAGCAAGCTCAATCTTGAAAGAAGAACTTACGCCTCTTTCCATTCCGTTTCAGTTCGAAGCACACGCAATGTAGAGGACAATTTCACGGCAAATTTAAGGACATGAGGTTATTTTTATGTTTTTTTTATGTCGAGCTCGAAAGTCACATGTGTGCAAACCACAAATACAGAAAGCGAAGCGCTTTGGCAGCTGCAACTCAAACAAGATTGATGGGTTGCTCAAAAGGCCTTTTCGTGAGTTGATGGCTCGCTGAAACCGGCAATGAGGTGACATTGAACACTATGGCTGTGGTTGGCAAAACCAATGGTGCCATTTTGGAGTAGGTGCACTACCCACTTTAGTCTATTTTAGTGGGGATTGGGATGTTCACTGGGGGTACGGGGTTTTGACCCATGGCCATGTAGGTATGATTTAAATTGGGGGGACCCATCAGCAGGGCTCCTGAAAAAAGATGTTTATGTTGCAACCAGTTGAAACATGTTGCTTTTTCCACACCAAAGTAAAGGGACACCACCATCTACAAGTTGCAATGTTCAGGTGTATAATGTCAGGATCCCTGCTTCAAAGTGCACATTATTCAGTTAGGGACTCGTGTCCACCATCCACTTTTGAGGTATTTCCCGAATAGAATTCACAGCCATGTATATGCAGAGTCTTCTTTCGTGACTCACATTCTGCTGTGGGTTTTCGTTCCACATGCTGTGCGCACCTTGTGTTCTCGAGATAGAGGGTAGCCTGCGTTTGAGCGATAGCCATCGCAACTTGATGGTGACCACGAGTTGACCTTCCCATGGCTCCGCTTGCAGTGCCTTTGTGTCAGTCTTTGATCTGGGGTTTGTCGAGATAGTGACATCCTGAGGATGCTTGCACTAAGTAGTCCTTGGATGAGAAGATGTGGCCGTGGGTCAACACCAATGATACCATCATGGATCATTTTGGGGGTAGGTGCACCACCCATTTTAGTCTATTTTAGTGGGGATTGGGATGTTCACTGGGGTACGGGATTTTGACCCATGGCCATGTGTGTGCAACATGCGCTCACCCACTTTTTCGCACACCGTCGACGGATCGTCGTCTTCCCACGCTAGGCAAGAATCAGCTGATGGACCATGGAATGCATGACGGGATGGAATGGAAAGAAAGGCAACATGAGTTTAGCAGAGAAGCTTAGGCTTCCACTTGCTTAAGAATATGTTGTATTTTCCCCTGTTGGTTTTAAAGGGACTCTATCACTACTGGTTTTTGTCTTTCTTTCCAGGGGTTTGAACCAAATGGAAGTAGGTAAAACATGGTAAAAACCCGAGGAAATGCGCAGAAGCGCCATCAAATTCCATCAAATGCCTTCGTTTTCTTGGTTTGAACAGCACACTTATGGGCGTAGCAACTCCCAGCCCGTTGCTCCGGCTTGGGCCATGCTTAGCTAGAGTGCTGGCAAGATTTGCGAAACGGGCATGCCTAGAGTCAAACTGCGGGACTGCGTAAAGGCATGAAAAAAAACTGGCCTGAGGTGATCGTTCAAGCCCAGTGCCGTTCAGTGCTTGATGCCCATGTCGGCATCGGGCTGACCGAGGGTGTGTTGCAGACAAGCATATAGTGATGTGGCGACATGCGGCGATGTCCTTAAATCGGTGCGTCCAAATTTGGATGGTGTTTCAATCAAGCCAAAAGGAAACATCTGCTTAAATTGGCCAGATCCGTTTTGGTGACCCAACAACCACCATGTTTGCAATGTTCACTCGCATCAAAGCAACAAGCCTCATGGTATGCTATGCTTACCTGAGGTATCCGTGGAGGAGTATGGATTTCATTGGGTCTTGAAGATCGCGCCATTTGATGGCTGGCCCGTTGTGTCGGAGGACTTCTGGAGACAATTACTCCTTGCTCCGCGGCGCTTTCAGATTCGGGCTGAACCGGGGCGCAGTTCTGATAAGAACGTCGGTTCTAGCCTCAAGTGCCTAGTTCGGTGCGTTGGTCTCAACTTCGGACTTGAGGCCAGCATATTTACTGTTTCATGAACCTGCGCATCATGAAATCATGAGTTTTGCGTGGTTGCAGATCCCAGTGGCGTGTCTCCAAATGTAGACAAGAGGACATTTTGAGTGGGTGATTTCCCTTTGGTTTGTTTTAAACCAAAACGGGTACCCTCCCCGAGCAAGTCACACCCCTGATATGCCGACGCCGATCGCTCCCTCAGGTTTTGCCGATGACCGCGTTGCTGGGAGTGGGGCTTGGTGTGAAGGTCCTTCTCGACATGCGCAAAAATGCGCAGAAGATGGACCAGCGCGCCAAGTACAAGGCGCGCGACTGCTTCTTCTTCTTTTTTTTCCGGCAAAGAAGGCTGGGGGGAAGGTTCCCATTTGCTTAGAGGAAGCTGCCAGCAACCGAGGCTTGCACGAAAATCTGGGAAGACAAGAACAGCTAAAGAGAAGGGTCGCGGCAGACTCAGGTTGGAACCTCTCACTCTTTTTCTTTGCTGCATTTTGCTTGAATGTTAGGACTTTAACTTTTTGCCAACCAATGGGCTTTCCGTTAAACCACCAACAGTTGGACTTTTAGCAGGGGAGCAGAAAGCAACTGTGTGTTTTGCATGCATGGAATTGGTGTGCCGGTCGCCAACTCGCATCGTTTTCCGTGCAATGTGTCGACCCCGGATTCATGAACCTCGTGGATTGTCAGGGAGGTGTCCCGACCCCCCGCCCCCCCCGAATCCATCTCTCTATGCAACACCCACCTATTCAACCAGGTTCCCGGTTCTGCAAAAAAGGCTTGAAGCAAGCCAACAAGCTGCAGTGCGAGCGTATCAGAAATCGCTTGGTCGAGGCCCAGGGAGGCTGAATTTCTGTCTGGAGCCAAGGGAGCTGGATCTCATAGCCAATTTCTTAACCTGGTGAACCTTGTCTTGAGTTGCTAGCATAGGTGTCCTTTTTGGTTGTTTTGGTCAAAAAATAAATGGCCCTGGTTTACCTGGCGGTTTAATCATCTACCTTTCGGAAACCCATCTATTTCCCCGAACAGGACGCCTATGGTTGCTAGGCTGTACTCTCGGGTGAAGGACTCGTCTGTGAAGTTCAGGGGCTCCATTTAGCAGCAAACGCAGTTGCAAGCAACTTGATGTGGCATTCTCAGCCCCTCAATTTCTTATGCGATGATTTCTGCTACATTGCTTGCGCTGTAGTGTCCCTGAGCAATTGTTATGCGTCAAGTCTCCTTGGCGTATTAAAATGGTTTGCGTACTCGCTCCCCGAACCTAGAGTCCTCACGCACCTGCCCTTAGCACATCGTGCCAATTGATAGAAGCTTTTCACCCGTGCGCTAGCTGCTGTGCATGCCCACGGCCCATGGGCCCTCATAAACCGCTTGGACCTGGCGCTGCGCAAAGAAACAAACTTCCGGCACCTGGAAGATCACGGCGTGGTCGGTTTTTCTTGCTGGTGCTCAGCAGGGAATGAGGGAATGAGCCTGATAAACCATCCCTTCTGGCTTCCTTGAGGGGGTTCATTCCCACATTCCCTGCTGAGCACCAACATGTGTTTGGTGTCACCACGAAACACCAGCCCTTCGAGCATACTGTTCGGGAACGCCCACCTGTGCATGCCCCCAAGCGGGGATGCCCGTAGCAACCCTGCCGGTTGTGCTTCTCAGCCTCAACCTCTATACTGCAGGCAACATTGGACCTAGCCTACTTGCGGTACCTTATTTCAGATGGTGAATTATCAGAGTAACCCTGACACTCTTTTTCTTATCCAAAAGAGGGTCGCCCCATGTTTGGAAAGCACCCACGCGCGTTCCGGCATTTGGTTAAGTCAACGGATCGCGGGTTGCATGGATCCGTCGCTGAGGGCCGATTTCGCTTGGCAGGAGGAGAAAATCGCGAATACGATCCTCGGAGCAGTGTCCAGCTTGAACCACTTTCAGCCCCTTGGTCACGCAGGCCGTTTGGGGCGTTTTCCAAGAAGGAATATCTCGGAGTCTGCTTCCGTTTGGCACCCCAAAACCCAAAAGCGGAAATTTGGCCCCGCGTTTGTTGAACACCTCCATGCACATCAGCCGCTGTTCGGTTGATTGCCAATCCTTAAGTAAGCAGCTTGCTCGTGCAGGGCAAGCTGCTTGATCGGGCAATCGTCTCGCCGGATTTTTGGACAACATGTCATGTCTACATTTGCGCAAAAGCCTCTAACAGAACATGTGCGGCCTCTCAGTTGCTTCCCCTCTCAAGATTGAGAAGGGCTGGCCAATTCCAACTTGGCACTCTCTACGGTCCCACTTGCATACCCCAAATGTGCACACTCAAGGTTGGTTCATTGGTTGGTTGCTTGGTTGCTTGGTTGCTTGGTTGCTTGGTTGCTTGGTTGCTTGGTTGGTGTGCGGCCACTACTTGTTATTAAGGCCAGGCCCGCGCTGGGCCCCCCCCCCCCCTGGCCAAAGCTTATGCACACCCCCCTGGTAGCCTTAAGAAATGGGAGGAGCTCTTATACCCCCCCCCATTTGGCTGTGGGTCAAAACCAATGGTACCATTTTGGGGTAGGTGCACCAACCATTTTAGTCATCTATTTTGACCCATGGCCATTTAAGTCGCGTGCTTAAATCTCTAGGTCCCCCAGTATTGCCCTTCTCTCCCCTTTTGGGGGGGAGGGTTCCCCTACAAAAATAGACAACACGAAAAGTTGGTACCCTTGTTCGAACCTCTCTGGAGGACCTAGCAGACTACGTTGTTTTTTGTGGGAAGCCTTTTGGTTTCCCTTTGGGGGCGGCTTTTGGATGGTGCGGCCTGAAGGAAATCCAATCTCCGCTTGGATTCTGAGGTTCCCCATGTGCGTTCTGAGCATCGAGGACTTCAAGGCCAGAGGCCGGCTGATCCAACACGAGGAGGCCCGCGGGCAGGGCCTGCTGTACTTCTTCGACGACCCGGACGACGTGGCCATCACCTGCGAGGCCTGGCCCAAAAAAATGAAACCGCGGGCGGGCGAAATATGCGCGGGGCGGAGTGGGCGGAGTCGGCAGAGGAGTTGGGTGCTGAGGGAAGTCGGTTGGAGGCAGCCCTAGCCCTTTGAAAGGCGGCGACTGACAGAAAAGGGGCGACGGAAAACGGGTCCGTCCCAAGACGAAGTGTGAAACCGAAGAGCAAGATCAGGCCAAGCTCCATGTGAGGTTGCCGTTCTTTGGGGGTAGCCCATTTGGGGTGGCTCAAAGGAAAACTAAAAGGAAAACCCCAAAATGGAACTTTGGGCATGCAAGGTTCCTAGGTCGGCTCCCAGGCAGTACTGGCCCCATGGCCATTTGTTTTGGAAGCCAAGGACTGGAATAGGGCGTCTCAGACGCATGTTTGCCCCATATTGGTTGGGTGGCTGACTATAGTTGCTTATTTGCCTTGTTGATCCCCACAGGTTTTTTCAGAGTCTCGAACAGGGTTGAAAGGCGAGCCGGGAAGAGGTGAATCTGACCACGGTTCCAGACTTGGATTCGCATTGAGCATGCTTTTGATTCATCATGTTCCTGTTGAGGCCTCTGCTGATGAGCGCAAACATGTTGCTGGAGCTATTAATAAACCGATTTTGCTCGAGTATTGCAGCTGTATTTTGACAGCTCAAATTGTGTGTGGGTTTGCTGTATAGTTAGGATGCGGATCACTGAACACTTTCACTGAATGGAGCAAACAATACATGTGATAAAACCATTATATATATATATAGTGTAGTGTCGCAGATATACTAGTATAGTTATATGTAATTCACAACATAGGGCGAATCATCAAGGCTCCACCAGGATGGGTCTCAGATTCCTTTGCTCAGATTAGAAGGTTCCTTGCGAACATTTCCCGGCTTTTTTTCTGGGAGGGGGAGGGGGGAGGGGGCGTTGGTTGTTTCCCAAACAAGCTGGGTGTTTATCAGTTCGTCTTTGTGTTTGCTAAGAAGCTTCATGAACAAACAAAGAACTCGGCAATCGACAAGGTGTTATTAGCTATTTGTTCAGCCAAACAGTTTCACACTCAAAAAAACAAAGTTCTTCCAAGCAAAAGCAAATAGTTCTTCAAGAAATCGCAAACCCAGAGTTGTTCAACCTTGCTGTTTTCCTCTGTGAAGTTTCACCCGGCAACCAGGCTTCTGATTTTTTCCACGGAAATTCCTTCGAGCAACACAGCGCTTGGCAGCCAGGCGGGCCTGACCTTTGTGAGCCATCAGTGGGCAGGCAAGGGCGTCCGTTGATTCGGGGGCTAGACGACAAGACGTGGACCAAGCGAAGCAACATGGCCCCCATTTTTTTGAAAAAAACATCTGAAAAGTGGTTGGCGGACATTTTTATCCATACCCTGGTTCAAAGAGAAGCCCAAAGGGAGCCCTTTCCATTTTTGAGGAGTTCCCCCATTTGAAATTGTGGTGACCTCGCATCCTTTTTCAGTCCATCTGGGACAAAAAGGTTTCTTGTGGGTAAGAGGAACCAAAATTAAAGATAAAGCAACCATTTTTGGTTTCCGATTCCCAGAAGACACACCCAGACCTCAGTTGCCCCAGGGCGAATCGACCTTTTGACCTTCGTTTTCCAAAGTTGGTCCTATTTTTTTCAAGATCACAAAAGGTGATCGCCTTTATTGTTCATTTGCATGCGGGTGTCCTTTCGGTGTCCCAAAATCACACCGCAGAACAAATTGTGTTTTTTTTTTGCCATTCGGCTTCCCTTCAAAACCCCCAGAAACCTGGATGTTTGTTGTTTTCTCCCCAACAAAAAGCAGAGGCCCGCGGTCCCGTTTTTTCTGGGCTCCGCCCCCCCCGTTCTCCGCGTTTTCTCCGCTTGAGCTGCTTCGAGCCGTTTGCGTCACGTCCGGGTCTGCTCTCGAGCCGTCGGCGCTCGAGCGCTCGGCTCGATTCCGCGCGCTTCGAGGCTTCGAGCATCCGGATCCCCAGGGGGTCCAGTTCCGGGCGATGCGCGCGGCGCTGGAGGAGCTGGCGGAAAAGGTGCAGTGGACGCTCGCTCCGGCGGGCTGGAGGTGGCTCAAGATTTTGGCGGCTCCAAAAAACACGGGTAATTTCCAAAATGGGTTGCCCTGGGCTAGGTGGAATGGACCAAAACCTGCGGTTTGCCCCTCCTGTTTAATTTTGAGCCACACCCATTTAAGAGCAGGGGCAAGCCGCAGGTTTTGGTCCATTCCACTTACCAGGGCAACCAATTTTGGAAGTTACCGGGTTTTGAGCCACGGCCATTTGGAGTTGGTGCAGTTCTAGGGGTTGATTCCCTGTCCATTCTTTTCAAGCATCGTTCTTTTCAACAAGCAGCTGTTTTCAACCTGGGTTTCAAAGGAGGTTTGCTAGAAAGAAGGATTTGTGGAAAGAATGGGGAAGGTACCCCAAAACAAAAAGTGGGTTGGGTTTTTTTGAGGGTTTAGCACCAAACCACCAAACCACCAAACCACCACACCATACCGTCTTTTTTAGGCGCTTAGAGGGAAACCAACCTTTCTGGATTTGTTGTTTTTGAGGGTTTTTGAGTTCCCCCCCCCCCAAAAAAAAAACAACTTGGTTGTTTTGGTTTTTGGTGGTTTGGTGGGCTGTGGCTTTCGCAGTGGTGTTGCTTTTGGACTTCTCTTTGGTTGAACTTTGTGGGTTTTCCATTGGACCCAGAAGAAGTGAAACACTTTTTGCGGAGGGGTCAGCAACAGCAAGCAAGCTGGAACCCGTGTTTGGGAACTACCCACTAAACCATGCATGCAAAACACCGATTCGGGGGAAGCTGACATTCCCAACAGGTTTCAACTAAAAACGCAGGTGATATCCCAACACCCCCGACCCGGAGCCGCTTCAACCCCCCCCAGAGCTTATTTGGACAGAGATTCCAAAGCTGCTGTTGGGAACCAAAATGAAGGTTTTGGCTTCCATTGCCCAGGAAATCCTGCAGAGTTCCCCTTCAACAAATCAGGGGAGTATTCACAAACGGAAGTTTCGGCGTCCATTCCCAACCTTTCCAGGGAAAGGGCTTTAATGTTGGTTTTTAGCATTTAGGGTTGACCGCAAGTTTTGCACGTCCATGACGCCCAAAATGTCCTCCTTGACTAGTCGAAGGGAGACAAATCAGACCACGAGCTCTCCATTTTCCGAATGGGGCACCTGCTAAGAAAATGGACCAATGATGTTCCTTTGTGGGCCTGCAGATGGGTGTGTCTCTTTTTGGTACCCTTGTTGAGGAAAACCGAAAGGAAAGCCGAATCCATGTTGAGTCCCACAAAAACAGGCACAGATGGACAAATCCTGAGATCCGTCGCCAAGGATCTGGGTGGATTATAGTTCCATCCCACAGACCAACTCCTTCCTGCAGCAGAACGCCATCAATTCCCTTTGTGTCTCCCTGCTGTTTAGCTGGTGGGCTCCACCCCTTTCGTTGTTTTTTTCTCCTGAGGGGTTTGGGGAGGGGGGCCCCTTGGAAGGCCGGAGTGCAGGGGACATGGGCCTTTGCACCAAAGTTACAGTACCACAGTACTCGACTGACTGGTTGTGTGGAAGGTTGAAAGAAGACCCTACACAGGTCAGAAAGAAAAAGAGTTCCCTTGAGCTCAAAAAACGAGATTTCTCACCAGGGCGGTCGAAATGAGGGATGTTTCTTGGTACTCAGCTAAGGGTCCAAAATGGTGTTGACCCTGAAGTAAGGAACCCCTTGGATCGTTTGAAAGGGAGACCAAGACAACCGCGTTTTGACTCGCAAAGGGAAGCCCAAGCGGAACCGGCCGCTAGGCTTGCCACATATTTGTTTTCCTCTCGCTCTTTGCTTTTATTTGTTAGGTTGATTTAGTCCCCTTTGAATCGAAAGCTACGGAAGCCCCTTTGCGAGTATAGGTAACCCAGATAGGTCAGACATACTCCGCTTTGAGTATTGGTTGCTTTTGCACCCTAGCATTCGACTTGGAGAACGTAAATTCCCCAGGGGTCAAAGGACAACCCTCATGGTTTTGGATGCCGGGATCCGAACCTTAGCTATGAGTAGCTCTTAGCTGGTGGTTTCCCTTGGTGATATTTCTTGCAGGTAAATAATGTCAGCTTGGGATTGCTAGCCCCCTCGGTTTACTTACCGGCCCGCCGGACCTAGTTAAACAATACGACCCTCCCCCCGAAACAAAAAAGCAAAAAGCCTGCTGAGTTCGTCCTGTCCATCCCACCCCCAAGAAATCAAAGACGGGTAAACAAACATGACCCAACACATCACTGCAGCCAAGAGCATTATACATTCATTTGGCTGGCTCATGTACTGCATCCAAATGGGGAGCCTCATTACATGTCAACCTGACGGAAAAAATCAATACATCTTACAATGTTTTATGGAATCATGGGGAATCATTGAACGTGTCCTTTTGAAGTTCAGGAATTCCCAATTCAACAGTAGTATACACCAATACTAGAGAAGTATTGCCCTATTGCCCAATACCAAGGTCGTTGTGTCCCGCATCATTTCGAGTTGTTGTTTGGGGGGTGCAAAAATTATGCCCTTGTACACGTTGTCCACCTGGGTTGTTTGTCTTGGCATATTATCAAGGTTACTTGTGTGAGTTGTTCTGTGTTCATGTGTTGTTTTCCTTGTCCTTTTTTTTTTGGCGGGGGGGGGGGGGGGGGCACGTTCTCTTCTTATTGTTGTTCTTATTTTTTTTGGCGGGGGGGATTTATTCGGGCGCCGCAGGTTCTCTTCTTCTTTTGGGCGGGGGTGTGGTTCTTTTTCTTCCTCCTTCCTCCGGCCAAACCGCCTTTTTCTCCTTGGACCTCCGAGGTCTACGCCACCTGCTGCTCCATCTTCCTGGCGGTGGCCCCGCCCTGCGTCCACGCGGACACCCAGCGGGAGCTGAACCTGGAGTCCTACCTCGCGCGCGCCTGGTGCCGCCTCGAGAAGCTCAGCTACGCCGCTCGGCAAGCCATATCCGGATCGGACCCAACGGTCCATAGAAAACCCTGGAACATCAGATAGGCCCCAATTGTGTTTTTTTTTTGGGGGGGGATTGGTAAAAGGGTTTGGGGAGTTGGGGGGACAAACCCAAGCATGGATAGCTGTTATCCGCCATACTTCTTTACATGGTTCTGGGATTACGGCCATTTTTCATTCCACGTTTAAATTACGACTCAGGTATCCGCAAATCCGCCCCCAACGGTCCATAAGGGAATTTTCTTCAACCAGAGGTTTATCTGGGAGACCCCATTGCTTTCAGCTGTTTGAGGAAATCAAAACACGGAAGAAGGCGAACAAATCTGGCCATTTGCGAGTTTTTTTTGACCCTGGTTTTAAGGGGAATCTATCGAACTGGATTTGCCAAGTCGGCTTTCCGGGCGACTTGAAGTAAAAAA